ACCACATATTAAAGTTTTTCATCACAGTTTTAAACTTTTCGGGTTAAAACAAACTTTTTCAAAACCATCAATCTTATAATCAAATAGTCATGTTAGTTATAGTTTGAGATCTTATTCTTATTTAAAGATGTGAGAGTACTTGAAATTCATCAACTAAATATTAAGTAATAAATAGTCCATAATGTATGAAAAAACAATGGTAGTTTTGATCTTTTAAATTCTAAATATATATATAATTTGGACCGTCTCATATAATTGGTAATTTTTTTAAAAGGTAGGTGTTTTTTTAGTTATATAACACAAAATCTACTATATTCTAATACAAAAATAAATTAATACAGATGAAATAATCAAAAGAGTTGGTGAAAGATGAATAATGATGAAAACACCAAGATTTTATAGGCAATTAGTTTAAGATTAAAAAAAACTTACGGATCCAATAAACAATATTATAAAATGAAAGACCAATTAACTTTTTACTTTTTACATATTTTATTTTTCAATATAATTAATTAATATATGTTTCGACACTTAATATAATATAATTTTTTTTCTAATCCTATTAAATATTATATAAAAAATGTTTTTTTTTTTTTGTTTTGTTAATACTATGATACTATATTCTAAAAAAATGGGCCCCTAATTCTTGTAGGCCTTGTGCATACGCCCGACTTGCCCTCCTCATGTTCGGCTCTGATTATGAACCAAATATATGTTAATCAATATTATAAATCATAGTATTAATGATATTAGAAAATACAAAATATCAACCAAAAAAAATCTGCTGAAATCAACTATAAAACCGAAATAGTATGTCGAAATCAACCGAAAAAGTCTATCGAAATCAGATAAAAAACTAAAAAAAAAATCTCTTACAAATGTGAAATTTTATTAAAGACATACAGTCAACTTTGTAAGCCTTTAATTAACTTTAAAGATGACTCGCTCCCTAAAAATGCATGGATTCTTTAATTTAATTTTATGAATTCAGTAAAAGCTATAAGAAAAGAAAAGAAAGCTTAGATAATGCGGAAATATTTATTTCCAAAACTACCCATCAATATCAAAAAAAGGAAGAATATTTGGACCTTCTACGATTGTCGTATTCTACAAGGTGATAAAAGAGTTTCCCTTTTGGGTTCAAGTTTATTTCCTCTTTTAAAACTTCGTCTTTTCTGTATACTTTCCCTGGTTCTGTTGCTACTGTGGGGACCAAACTTATCCTCAAAAGGAACGATGGGGCGATTCAGGTGAGATCCAATGGAGATCCAACTTTCGATTTATTTGGGAGTGAATTACTCTTTTGGCCCTGATGGTATTATCAAAAAATTACAATTTTTTAGGTAATAGTGGGTTATTGAGCTGGTTTATGTGCACTGATTAATCATCTGCACGATCACGAATCGTCTGAAGTCATCATAAGTGAACCTTTATGGCCATAGAGACTTTGGCAACGCCTGGATTCGAACCCGAGGTTGATAAGAATTTTCACTATGTACCCCCTGAGGTTTGACCAGTGGGTCACAACCCAAATGGTTAACGTCCCTGTAATTTGTTAACTATGGATATGGTTTATGTGGTATTCCATTTCTTATTGTTGGCCCATCTCACTACCGAAGTTAACAAAAATCCGTTAACACGGTTGACTTAAGGGTGTTTTAGTCATTTTACACTTAATAAAAATCATACCATAAAATTCATATACACGGTTACAAGAGTCATTAAACCAAAAGAATCTGAATTAATTGGATAAACAAATTTTTATTAACTCTGTTATTAGTAAAAACCATAGTCATAAAAATTGTATACACAGTTACAAGAGTATAAAAATGTCAGTCATAAATTTTAACAAACCAGAGAGGCTAATCATGGATAAGAAAAAAACAATCAATTTTTTACTGTGGTAAATAACGAAAATTATAGATAAGTTTCATAAAATGAAAACTGGTCGAGTTTACCATTGAATTTGTATTAGGTTGGTGTTTTAAAGATATAATATAATTGTTTTTGCTATTTTTTAAAAATTAATATTAGTTTTTTTTTTACTTTTTTTTTATAATTGATGTTCCTGCTAAACTCAGTTCCTGATTCCGCCACTGTTTACCCAGACTAAATTTTAATTTTAATTTAAAAAGATATTTTTTTGTTTATATATTTTGAATTAAAATTGAACCTAAATAATATTAACCAAGTGTTTGATTTTTGGCTAGGTTACTCCTTCTATCTATACTATATTATAAAACATTTGATAAAAACTTTTAAAAATCATTCTTTATACATATTACTTAAAATTCAAGATCACAAGTAAATTGTGCGCAGGTACAACTTATTAAAACTTCATTTTTGAATTTGTATAACTAACTGCAGATAAACATAATCAAATACGTGATAAACATCTCATTTTAAATATACAAAATCTAAAATATAATTAGAATAATTCATTGAGTTCGAACAGAATTATTATCTTTATAAAAAATTTATTGTTAAGCCAAAGATAAATTACTTCACCATTTGACCTAAATTAAATTATAAAAAAATGAATTAAAGAAATTGCAAAAAAAAGAAAACTTTTAATTGGTTAATTTAATATTAATATTGATATACTTTTTCAAAATTTTATGATGTCTTCAAATTTATTTTTATTCAAAAGTAAAAACATTATATTTCTCAAAACCATATAAACCATATTATACCAATAAATACAAAAAATAAAACGAAACATTAAAATGAAGATGTATCTCGCTACATTGTGCGAGTACCCTTCTAGTTATATTATAAATCATTTGACAAAATCTCTTAAAAACTATTTTTTATGTATGAAATACTGTTTATCGATGCATATTACTTAAAATTCAAGAGTACAAATAATTTTGTGTAATTACAACTTAGCTCCATTTTTAAATTCATATAACTAACAGCAAATAAACATGATCAAATACAGGATAAACATTCATTTTAAACATAAAAAATCTAAAATATAATTAAAATAATCATTGAGTTCTAACAAAATGTTTAATTATTATCTTTATAAAAAAGGTTATATTATTAAACAAAAAATAAATTAATTTGCTATTAAATCTAAATTGAATTATAATAAAAAAAACTGAACTAAAGAACTTATATCAAATAAACGAGAAATATTAAATAGTTATTTGATATTAATATCAATTTATTTTTATTAAAATTTTATGTTATCTTTAAATTTATATTTCATTTAAACATAAAAATATTATCGGAAAAATGTGATAACTACACATTTTTTAAATTATCTGTCATTTTCATTGTGTATATTTGTTTTGAGACGGAAAAATATTTTTAATTATATATATATAAATTAAAATTATAATAATTATTTGTCCATATTTATCAAAACCTAATAAATCTAGTCACGATAATTATTTATAAAAAAGGAGTAAAAATAACACCCATTAAACGCATGCAAAAGAATCAGTGAAATCGAATCGGATCTTCTGAAAAGGATATTCTATTGGGATTTAATTTGGTTTGGGTTCTTCTTGACTTTTTAATATTTAGGTCAAAAATTTATTATCATTAATTTTAATTAATTTCATATGGAACTCGTTTTCAAAAACATTAATGTAATAAAACATTTTTTGGTTCACTCAACGACTGAGGTTAACAGGGATCCGAGATCAAATCAGGACCTGCCTTGTATTTGATTAAAGTCGTCTTACTTTTTTCTAACTGAGTTACATATGAAAGTCTTCAATAAATATATATATATATATATATATAAACATATATTTATATATGTATGTATATATAATGTTTTAATAATGAATATCTTTTCAAATTTTCTCTTTTTTTCTTTTTATCTCTTGACAACTGAAAGAATGACATAAAGAGATAAAGTTTAAGCTTTTTCTGATAATGAAATGTACGATAAATGTTGAAATTTTAAATAGAATGGCAAAATAACGGATGTATAGTAGTCTTGTCCTTGCGCCATCTCCGGGTTCGGTCGCTTCATCTAAACTTTCATAATATCTTCAAATTTATATTTTATTTAAAAATAAAAAATATAACGAGATACATATTGATTTTAATATTTATCTCAATCGATGTTATAATATGATTTTATGTGATTCTAAAAAAACGATGATGTCTTTATTTTTTTAATAAAATATAAATTTGAAGATATCATAAAAGTTTGACAAATTAACTATTTAAAGTTACTTATTTTTTTTGTAATTTTTAATTCAATTTTTTTTATCATAATTTAATTTAGGTTCAATAATAAAGTAATTTATATTTAATTTAATAATATAATTTTYTTATAAARATMATWATTAAKTATTTTGTTAGAACCCAATAATTATCTTAATTATATTTTAGATTTTTTATATTTACAATGAGATGTTTATCATGTATTTGATTATGTTTATCTGCAGCTAGTTACACGAATTCAGATATGAAACTTTAATAAGTTGTACTTACGCACAATCTACTTGCAATCTTGAGTTTTAAGTAATATGCATTAGTAAACAGTACTTTACGCATAAAAAATGATTTTTAAGAGTTTTTGTCAAATGATTTATAATATAGTATAAATATTTTTTAAATCTTCATGATATCTTTAAATTTATATTTTATTCAAAAATAAAAAATGATCGTTTTCTCAAAACCATATAAAACCATATCATAACATCAACAAAAATAAAATATTAAAATCAAAACTCTATTGTACAAATATCCTTCCAGTAGATAATTAAACAATTTTGTAATTGTCTTTTAAAACTAATTTTTTTTCCTAAAGTATATATATTAATATTTTAAAGAAGTACAAAATAGAAATATAATAATTAATATTTTGACCATGAATCAAGGCATGGAGTAAGCCGAATCACAAAGTGATGATATTTGGAGTCCGAGTCACACACCAAGTCATGTTCATTGCCGTACTCGGATTCCACCTTCACCATCAGCCTTCGAGCCTTTGGTTTCTCTATATATAGCCAAACCCCAATTTCATGCTCTCTAGATCTCCACTCCGCCTCTTTCTCATCATCTTCCTCTTCGATTCTATCGATTTTTGAGGTTTGAGTTTGACTCAGACCCCACTTGGTAGTATCAGGTACTTCACTTCTCGTTTCTACTCGAATCACTTTTGATTCTTCATACGTATACACGTGGGTTTGTGTTTTTGATTACTATTTTGTGATGGATCCACTGACTTGCCAACATTTTTTGTTTTGTTTTTGATTTTTATGGATTTGAAAGGTTTAACGCTTATCGTTGAGGAGTGTGTGTGGTTAATGGCTAATCGGAATTTGGAGAAATTGGCATCGATCGATGCGCAATTGAGGCTTTTAGTTCCTGGAAAAGTTTCAGAGGATGATAAGCTGATTGAGTATGATGCTTTGCTTTTGGACAAGTTTCTTGATATTCTTCAGGATTTACATGGAGAGGATCTCAAAGAAACGGTATGTTTTTTTTTGTTATCATTATTCATGTTCTGTATTTTGGTTCATAACACAATCTTCGGTTAATGATCGATTAATGGCGATATTAAACCTAATCGAATTGGTTTCTTCAAACCTTGTTGTGTTTCGACGATTTTCAGGTTTTCTCTTGGTAATAACGACTTAATATGACACTTGATTTGTAGTTTAGACCGAGTTTTTTTTTGAGTATTTATTCAATAAAGGAATGTAACCCTCGTTGTGAAGTGATACGATGAACAGCCATCTGTATCCAATCTGTGAAGGGTGAGAGAGACCCCAACCTGTTCGACAAAATGCCCAAGTGGAATGTTGAATTGCATGTGAAGCTTATTGTGTTTTTTGAGTTGTTAGAGAGCATAACTTAGGTATCAGTAATCTGACCATGAGGTTTCTTTAGGTTCAAGAGTGCTACGAGCTTTCTGCTGAGTATGAAGGAAAGCATGACCCTAAGAAGCTGGAGGAGCTTGGAAATGTGTTAACAAGTTTAGATCCAGGGGATTCCATTGTTATTGCAAAAGCCTTTTCTCACATGCTTAACTTGGCCAATCTGGCTGAAGAGGTTCAGATTGCTTATCGCCGGAGGATTAAACTGAAGAAGGGTGACTTTGTTGATGAGGCTAATGCAACAACTGAATCTGATATTGAAGAAACTCTTAAGAAACTTGTACATAAGCTTAAGAAATCCCCTGAAGAAGTGTTTGATGCACTCAAGAATCAAACTGTTGATCTAGTTTTCACTGCTCATCCAACTCAATCTGTCCGCAGATCTTTGCTTCAGAAGCATGGAAGGTATACCATCTAATTTGAATGAATCTTATTCGAAGCTAATGGTCAATATTCCCAGCGTTTCTTGTTTTACTTATCATGTGTTCTTTTCAGGATTCGGGACTGTCTTGCGCAGTTATATGCCAAAGATATCACCCCTGATGATAAGCAGGAACTTGATGAGGCTTTGCACAGAGAAGTATGTATCCACACTTGATATATTCTAAAACATTAAGTTGCAGCATATCTGACAATGTATTGTTGCATGTTTGGTTAAAAAAAGACTTGTTCGTTTTGGGTGTGGGATATGACATGACAAACAAAAATTTCTTCTCCAACGTTTGGTGTACAATTAGACAGGGTCTGGTAGACACTGAGTGGATAAAAATACATTTTTTCGTCCCACCTAAGTAGGTGGAACAAAATTCAGGGAGATGGGACAAGCTTTGTTATTCCTAACTACCGATGTCAAATTAAAACCCTACAACCTTTAACAATTCTTTCACCCTCCTAACTCACTCTTGTCCCCAGTTCTGTCCAGTCCAATCCGTATACCAAACGCACTGTTTTGCGCTTTTGCCAATGTTTATTCATACTAGTTCACAAATGCTCGACTTTCAATGAGAATTGCATGATTGCTGATTTTTAATTCCTCTTATGTATTCTGTAGATTCAAGCTGCTTTCCGCACTGATGAAATCCGGAGGACTCCTCCAACCCCACAAGACGAAATGAGAGCTGGGATGAGTTACTTCCATGAAACAATATGGAAGGGCGTTCCTAAATTCTTACGTCGTGTTGACACTGCTCTCAAGAACATTGGGATCAATGAACGTGTTCCGTATAATGCCCCTCTTATACAATTTTCTTCCTGGATGGGCGGTGACCGTGATGGTATTTGTTTACGGACATCCATTTTGCTATTCTACTATATTATTTGCGTGATGTGTTGGTAAAAGCTAATTATGGTCCCTTTTTGTCTTTGGCATAAACAATTGCAGGTAATCCAAGGGTAACCCCTGAGGTCACAAGGGATGTTTGCTTACTTGCGAGAATGATGGCTGCAAACATGTACTTCTCCCAGATTGAGGATCTTATGTTTGAGGTATTCAGATTTGGAGGACCTTACTCCTGTTTAATGTACCAGCTCTTTGATAGCTCCCTTACACTGGAATTGTTCTTGCCAGATGTCCATGTGGCGTTGTAGTGACGAACTCCGTGTTCGAGCAGAAGAACTCTATCGATCATCATCAAAGAGAGATGTCAAACACTACATTGGTAATTTATATGAACATTTTTGCTTTTCCACGTTTCGTTGGGGTAATTTCTTCATATTTGCATCCTTCTCACAAGCTTTTTTTTTTGGGGGGGGGGGGGGTTCTTCACAAAAACTGCCGCATACTCTTTAAGAATAGAGGTCTGCCTACATCCCACCCCCGTACCCCGTCTTCGGGTGAGATATATTGGGCTTGTTTGGTTTGGTGTTTCATTTGATTACTACTATGTCAAAACACTGAAAAGTTCGGGCCTTTGTAATTTGTGGTTGTCGGTAACTTGTCTATATGCACATTTAGTATGATTCTGGTGCTTCGATTTCAAAAGTTGTTGAGTGTTTAGTTTTTTTTGTCCAGAGTTCTGGAAACAGGTTCCTCCTACCGAACCATACCGTGTTATTCTTGGTGATGTTAGGGACAAGTTGTATAATACGCGTGAAAGATCACGCCATCTGTTAGCACATGACGTATCTGACATTCCAGAGGAGTTGGTTTATACCGATGTTGAACAGGTATCCCTCACCCTTCCGTGTTCACTCTTTTTGAAGTACATATATATATATATATACAGCAAATAATCAAACACATTCTTCACATTTGGTGAGGTTTGACCTTCTGCTTCTGGGAGGCCGGGCTCTAGCAGTAACCTGTGTACCTCCGGGTCGATGACCCTTTAACAGGTCAATGGGTGATGTCAGGAATCGGCCTCTTTGCAAATATGCAGGCCTCGTGCCATGAGATATGGTGGTAAAAGTCTATTTCAGTTATATTTTATGCTAAGCTTCTCTGATTATGTTTTGACAGTTCTTGGAACCTCTAGAGTTATGCTACCGATCGCTATGTGCTTGTGGTGATCGAGTGATTGCTGATGGCAGCCTTCTTGATTTCTTGCGGCAAGTCTCCACCTTTGGACTCTCGCTTGTGAGGCTCGATATCCGACAAGAATCAGACCGCCACACGGATGTCCTTGATGCCATCACTCAACATTTGGAAATCGGGTCTTACCGTGAATGGTCTGAAGAGAAGCGCCAAGAATGGCTTCTAGCTGAGCTAAGCGGAAAACGCCCGCTATTCGGCCCCGATCTCCCAAAAACCGAGGAAATCGCTGATGTTTTGGATACATTCCATGTGTTGGCGGAACTTCCAGCAGATTGTTTTGGTGCTTACATTATCTCCATGGCTACATCCCCTTCTGATGTGCTTGCTGTTGAGTTGCTTCAACGGGAATGCCATGTAAAGCAACCGTTGAGGGTGGTTCCACTTTTTGAGAAACTTGCAGATCTCGATGCGGCTCCTGCTGCCGTGGCCCGTCTTTTCTCGATCGAGTGGTACAGAAACCGGATTGATGGTAAACAAGAAGTTATGGTTGGGTATTCGGATTCAGGAAAGGATGCTGGAAGGCTTTCTGCTGCGTGGCAACTGTACAAGGCTCAAGAAGAGCTTATAAASGTTGCKAAAAAGTWYGGAGTTAAGCTCACCATGTTCCATGGACGTGGTGGGACCGTTGGGCGAGGAGGCGGACCCACTCATCTTGCTATTCTCTCCCAACCACCCGAGACTATTCATGGGTCACTCCGAGTCACCGTTCAGGGTGAGGTTATCGAGCAATCTTTTGGTGAAGAACATTTGTGTTTCAGAACTCTTCAGAGGTTTTGTGCAGCTACCCTTGAGCATGGGATGAACCCCCCGATCTCACCACGACCCGAATGGCGTGCACTTATGGATGAGATCGCAGTTTATGCAACCGAGCAATACCGTTCGATTGTGTTCAAGGAACCACGTTTTGTCGAGTATTTCCGTCTCGTGAGTATCATTATCATAGACTGCATTTTCATTTCACATATAATATGTCATCATCTTTCAGCCGCTCTAATCTTCCGGTGGAGGTCCGGTTTGCGTACATCTCATCCTCTCTGGACCCCTTTCGGCTGGGATATACTGGGTTTGGGTTTGCTTGGTTTAGTTTACATAATATGGTAATATGTCATTTCTTTCGGTTTGATCTCTCCGTATGCTTACAGGCCACGCCAGAACTAGAATACGGGCGGATGAACATCGGAAGTCGTCCATCGAAACGAAAGCCGAGCGGAGGCATAGAATCTCTCCGAGCCATTCCGTGGATCTTTGCATGGACTCAAACCAGGTTCCATCTCCCTGTTTGGCTCGGGTTCGGGGCTGCATTCAAACATGCCATCGAGAAAGACATCAAGAATCTTCACATGCTACAAGAAATGTACAAAACATGGCCTTTCTTTAGGGTCACCATCGATTTAGTTGAAATGGTGTTCGCTAAGGGTGATCCTGGCATTGCTGCTTTGAACGACAAGCTCCTCGTGTCTGAAGACCTATGGTCGTTTGGAGAGTTGTTGAGAGCCAACTATGAAGAAACCAAGAATCTTCTCCTCCGGGTACGAATTCACAAACCAATATGAACTTTTTCTTTGAAGTGTATATATTTAAATATAGCAAAACTCACACACTTCACATTTGGTGATACTCGAACCCTTTGCCTCCAGAGATCTAATGGTAACCTGTGTAAAAACTGATGAACACCTTGGTAACCATTCATCATCATTAGTACGACATGCACATGTGGATACAAATAATTGAAGTTATTTCTTGGTTTTATGCATGTGTGCATGTTATGCGCATTTATGGTTTATCAGGGTGTCCTTAGTTTTTTCATTTTTTACGATTTTCCCATGAACCTGACCCGATGTATATACATACACACGGGCAGAACTCACACACAATTCTCATCTTTGGTGATGTTTAATCCCATCATTCCCATGACCTCTAAAGGAGGTTGGGATCTACCAGTAATTGGGTACCACTGGACCACCGATCCGACCCTTACCAATATAAACTTTCTTTACACCAAGTACGGCAAATTATAATATCGATCTTTTCTTGTAGATTGCTGGACATAAGGATCTTCTCGAGGGTGATCCGTACTTGAGACAAAGACTCCGTCTACGTGATTCCTACATCACGACCCTGAACGTATGCCAAGCGTACACACTGAAACGGATCCGTGATCCAAACTATCACGTGACATTGAGGCCTCATATCTCAAAAGAGTATGCCGAGCCAAGCAAACCAGCGGACGAGCTTATCAAACTAAACCCGAAGAGTGAGTACGCCCCAGGATTGGAGGATACCCTCATCTTGACCATGAAGGGTATAGCTGCTGGAATGCAAAATACCGGTTAATTATCGATTGTATCGAATGCCGGAAAAGTTGTTTCTGTTTCAGGGATGTGTTTTGTGTTATCTAATGTGTATTATCGAGTCATGGTCTTGTTTGCAGAGAGGTAAATTTGGGTTGTGAGGATGGTGGTTGCTAATGCGTGTAGTGCTAAAGTGTACAACGTGCATCGTTGATGGTACCTTTTCGAAAAACAGATGAATTATGGTACTTTTCGAATAAATAATGGTTCCTTTTTTTCGTTTTCATATTGCTCCTTTATTGGTGGGAATAGCCCAATTTTAATTTGGAAACGAATCTATTGTAAAAAAAATAGATTCCGTGGTTGGTTTTTCATTACGTCATGAATGGATAAAGTTGTATTCATCAATTAATCTGTTTGTATATATTGGGATAAATTTTGTTTGGAAGAGTTTTTTTTATCGATGAGAAAAATACGGTTTTTAGTATCTGGATGAGAAGAATAAAAATAGTTGATACCAGTGCCAAATTGGTAATAAATAGTTTTTTGATAAATTACTCATTTCTGATTTATCAGAAACAACTTATTAACTTTAAAACCAAATTACTTTTTTAACCATAAATCATCTGTCACGTTCGTCTTCTTCCATGTGTTCTTGCTTGTTTCACCATCTGCATCATCTTTATAGATGAGAATCTCTCTCTCTCTCACACACACACCCCAAGAACATACACAGTGTGAATATCAACTGAATCACTATAAATCAACGAAGACAATGATTGATCAAAACAAATCTGCTACGATATCGATTGGAGATGGAAAACTGAGAGATGGAGATAGGTTTTATGAAGTTTGTCGATTGGGGTTTATGAGTCAGAGTTTAGGGATTCCGTTGAAGCTGTTACATGAGGCCGTTGGACCCATAGTGACGATGGAACTGAAGAGTGGAAAAGTCTACAGAGGAAGCTTGGTTGAATGCGAAGATAATTGGAACTGCCAAGTCGAATACGTCACTTTCACCGCTAAGGTTCGTATTATCATTGATTCCGATCGATTATCAGTTTTGATTTTCCTTCCTTCGATCTGTTTTCTTGATTTTGTTTTCTAATGATTAATTGATATGAAAAACGGGGGTTGATATCCCCACCCCCTACATCACTTTTCACCCCCTCCTCCTCACACCAACCCTCACTCTCACTCTCACCCTCACATACTCACCCCCTACACAATCTCACCCCCCTCACATGCACCCATAGGAGGGGGTGGGGTTAGAAAAACCCTAAGGAAAATGGGGAATGTCCTTTTTTGTCATTTTACGTGTACTAAGTACTCGCGCAATGCAGCGAGACACATTTCGATTTTAATATTCTATTTTATTATTTGTCTCTGTTGATGTTATAATACGATTTTACGTGTTTTTAAGAAAGCAATAATGATTTTATTTTTGAATAAAATATAATTTTGAAGATATCATAAAATTTTGAAAAAAAAGTATCAATGTTTATATCAAATCAACTATTTAAAAGTTTTATTTTTTATGTAATTTCTTTAATTTATTTTTATTATAATTTAATTTAAGTTTAATAACGAAATAATTTTTTTTATTTTAATAATATAACATTTTATAAAGATAATAATTAAGTATTCTGTTAGAACTCAATGATTTATTCTAATTATATTTTAGATTTTTTTATATTTTAAATGAGATGTTTATCCTGTATTTGATTATGTTTATCTGTAGTTAGTTACACGAATTCAAATATAAAGCTTTAATAAGTTGTATTTATGAACAATCTACTTACAATCTTGAGTTTAAGTAATATACATTAATAAACAATACTTTACGCATAAAAAATGGTTTTTAAGAATTTTTGTCAGATGCTTTATAATATAGTATAGATAAACAAAATTTACCAAACACTAAAAACAACCTATCAACTTATTACATTTTAGTACCACCATAAGTTAATCCAAACACTTTTTATAGACCTCCGATTCCGATTTAACGTAAACTTAAGTTAGTTTGCAAATCCCAAACACGCGTAAGTGGGCCTTAGTTGGTGACCCATGTATTTGGGCTCTCGTGTCAAACGGAATCAGCTGTTCCGATTTGGGTCTCCGACCGGCGAATCCTTTATCGATTTCAAAGCAATAAAGCGGAAAAGAAACAAACATAAAGCAAATCCAACACCTTGTGTTCGGAGAAGGATCTAGACGCTAGTCCAGAGAGCGGAGCAATGGCAGCGCTTGCAACAAGGAGAAGACGGCCGTTGGAAGCCGATCGTTTGTTGCCGTCGACCTCGGCCGATGGTTATACGAAGGTAGATAAGCCGCCGGCGAGTTTAGGAGCTGAGGTAGAGAAAGGCTTGTCATGGACATTTCCTATATTTGCTCTAGGGTTATTGAGGTATTTGAGTGCAACTACCAATATCATTCATGACTGTGATGAAGTATTCAATTATTGGGAGCCTCTTCACTTCCTTCTTTACAAATCAGGTTTTCAAACTTGGGAGTACAGGTATTCTCGATCCATCTCTCATAATTTCTTATATGTTTTTGATTTTGTTATGCTTGGAGACATATGATGTTAAAATAATCTGGATATTTCTTTGTTGGACGTGTTAGAAGTACGATTATCCAGGAGTTACACACTCTCACTGGCGCATGCACACAGAGTTGCATAAACTAGTGATCATCTATTCAACAATCACTTTGCACTTCCAATATTACGATGTTTAGTGTTGTATCTAATGTTTTGATGTTGTAATGCTCTTTGAATTCCTGCGCTGTAGTGCTATGATCTAAGAAATACAGAGAATTTAAATGTCTACATCCTAATTTGGACTTCACCATTTGGTTGAAACCCAAGAGATCGTCTTGCATACTGCATAGTAAGGTTCTTGTTTAGAAATTGGATTATATATTTCAGATATGAGGCTATGTTGTTCGTCTCTATATAGCTTGGGGAGTCATTCATTGTGAGTTTGTGTTTTTTGACTTGATGCAGCACTTAAGATGATTGAGATCCATAAAACAAGTAATCAAACAGATAAACTTCTAAGGGTTTGTTTGTTAGCAGCTTCACGACTCGCACCTTATTTGGTCAGCTATACGTGATTGTTTGGTAATGGCTTAATGATATAGAAAGTGGCTTATTTGGTAAGCTTCCAGGGGGAGCTTTATGCAGAAAGCCAAGTTTTTCTAAACCTTCCGCTCCCAATTAAAAAACACTCTCCTTCCATCTATAAAAAGCCCTCCCAATCATACAGATAGATTAATCCAGCCAGTTGCTTTATCCATACATGACTTAATGGAAAACCAACCAAACATCCCCCAAGTACCAGACACTGTACTAGTCAGACGCCTGACAGTTGATACTTTTCCATCACACCTCAAAATTGAAAACATAGCTAATGCAAATATGCATTTATGTATGTTTAATGCTCAATATATCTCGTCAAGATTTAGCAGCGGTGTTTACAATTTTCCGTGCATGCGAAATTGCACTGCTTGGCTAACCGGCTAAGTTTGCAATTTATTATGTATCCGGAACATTTATACATAAAAGAAACGATGAGCATCAGTTACAAATTGATTATCACTTCTATGAAATGTTGGCATATTGCCCACATATTTTATGTCTTATAAGCCTATGTGAATTGGAAATAAATACTCTCTTCCAAAAAATAGGTTTCTAGCTTAGTGTCATCTGCTCTTTTTGTCAGCTACTTGTAGAAAGTTGCATCTGATTGATAAATCAAGCGTGCCATATGATAAGACAAGCATAAGATATAACATGATTAGTGGCGTAGGCAATATAAATCTTTTCTGCGACCTCTCCTCAACCATATGCACAATTACAAGAAGGAACATAGCAAATCAAAATTGTGTGGAAGTAGGCTTCTGATTGCAGCAGGGCTAATGGTGTGTGTATTAAATCCTTCCTGCAACATCAGGTGTATGGTGGACCAAAATGTTAGTGAAGTCAATCAATTGAGCAAAAGCCTCCTTATATTATTATATATACACAACAGAAACTACTCTGGTGAATTGTTTCCGTACTTCTTTTTGGTTCCACAAGCTCTTTCATGAAAGTTTTATGACAACATTCAATCTTGAAAGATTGTACATCACAAATTTTGACGAGTATATCGGAACATAAAGTCATCCTTGTCGGTTCTGCACTCTTGCTTGTAGACATTTTCTTTTCCTGTTGTTCTGTTTTAGCCTATGTGAAGTTAGTGCATATTACTAATGACCTTTCTTTTTCCAGAACTTTGAAATCCTTCAGATTTTCTTCTTTATGAAATCATATGATTCATATCTGTGTGATTTATTGCAGTTCTCAGTTTGCATTGCGTTCCTACCTGTACATTCTTTTTCATTATTTGGTGGGCTGGCCAGCTTCATGGTGCTATAATTGGCTCGAGGAGGAAAAAGTACAAATACTTGCAATTTATTATATGTATAAGCTCATTGACTGTTATCTTCATTAACATAATTGATCTAATTCTTGACCATATTCCAGGTAAGAGTATTTTATGCTGTGAGGATATTCCTTGGCCTTCTTTCTGTCGTGACTGAAGCTGCTTTGGTAGTAGCGCTTTCCAGGAAGTTTGGAAAACGCCTTGCTCTTTATACACTAGCCATGTTATGCTTAACAAGTGGTTGCTTTTTCGCTAGCACAAGTGAGTAGCCATCAAACTTCTGTATTACATAGTTTCTTCTGTTGCATTTTTATGAGAACTTATGCATTTTGATATCCCATGCAGTCTCTAAAATGTGGCCTAAGCGACCACTTAATCGGATTCCTTGGCATATATGGGGGTTTAAACCACCCAATATTCTTCTAGCCGTTCCTTCTAAACACTGAAATAAGTATTTTGTGATCAATCAGCCATTGAGTGGTGATTATGCAGCCTACAAGCGGACTATTCAAGTTAAACAAGCTAATTAAATGAAGTTGAACAGTCATTTTTATAAGCCCAAATCCAGTAGATTATTTGTAGCCTAAGGAAACAATGCTGCTAATAGACCATTACAGATGTTGGGTATTCTTTTCTGGGGATGAAATTACTAATGTTAGTTTGTTAATCAGTATCAATGTTATAACTTTCATATATTTACATAAGTCAGCTGATACATTGTAATTTTTTTTTTGTTAATGTAGAACAGATATGTGTTAGAATTAGATCACTTAATTTGCTTCCTTAACCGCTTTCTCTTATGCGTTAGAAGGTCTCCATGACCCTTAGTTCGCTGATCTGTTTTAGAGCATGAGCTCCTACATGCTGTCATATCTTTTGACCAATAATTGTTTTCACCTCCAACTGTTCTTTCTGTGCAGGTCTTTTGCCAAGCTCTTTTTCAATGTATGCTATCTCTCTCTCCTCAGCGATGTTCCTTTTTGGTATGCATGCCATGGCTGTTGCTGTTGCAGCAACTGGCGTTATTCTTGGTTGGCCATTCTCAATCCTTGCTTTTCTTCCGGTAACAGTGTACTCTCTACATAGACGATTCAAACAAGCATTTCTCTCAGGGGTTCTAATTTCTCTTACACTTTTGGTACGTTAGCTCTTTTCTTATGTCATGATTTCAATTAAATGATTTCTGGAACCTACATCTGGTTGTTAATAGATATTTCTGGAACGGGACTCTGATTGATTACTTGTTCGTTTTTTACTTGGAATGTGAGGTCATATTTATCCAAAAAATTTCAGGCACTCTCAGTGGTAGTGGACTACCATTACTATGGAAAATGGACGTCGTCTGTTATGAATCTGTTGGTGTATAATGTCTTGGGAGGTGGTGAGAGTCATTTGTATGGAACAGAAGGACCATTATACTACTTGAAGAATGGATTTAATAACTTCAATTTTGCTCTCATTTTTGCACTGTTCTTCGTGGCTACTCTGCCAGTAACAAAGAAGAAGTATGCTCCTGATTTGTTAATTGTGGTGTCTCCTGTGTACATCTGGTTGGCATTCATGTCTTTGCAGCCACACAAAGAAGAAAGGTCAGACTGATTTCTCTGTTTTTTTTTTCCATTTATCTATTAATTAGGGACCCCAGGAGATACTTGATTTTTAGTTACCTTTTAGGGGCTCTTTGGCTTGTTTTCCATTAAGTCCTGTATGGATAAAATTGTCCGTGTGGGCTAATCTGTCTGTATAGATTGAAAAGGTTTTTGTTTGGGATGGTTTTTCATAGATGGAAGGAGCGTGTTTTTTAATTGGGAGGGGCAGGTTTGGAAAAAACTTGGCTTTCTGCATAGAGGTCCCCCCTAGAAGCTTATTGGATAAGTCACTTTCTCTATCATTAAGCCACTATCAAACAGTCATGTACAGCCCACCGAATAAGGTGTGAGTCCCATTAAGCTCATTAAGCTGCTAACAAACAGGCCCTTAGTTTTCAATACAAATGTAGGTGGCTCCTTTCTCATTAATTTTTTTTGTCAATTGCTTCATGCATCTGTTGTTGAAAATATATTTACCACTCAAGCATTTTACAAGTGAAACTTGAAACGAGAATCAAGTTATGTGATTATCTGATGCAATCATACAATTTTCAGGTTGAAYGAACAAATATTATTTTTTWTAGCAGTGGGATTATTGGGMTTACGGTCYATATCATGATTGGCYTTTCCAAATGATTTTTGAAACTAGTGCTCAAAAAACCTACGATGATTTTGGCTTGAGGAGCTCAAAATCACATGATCAAYGAGGCTGCTGTATCTGTGTTCTCAACATCTTGTGCTTATACAAGTCTGTTTCTGGATAAGATGAGCTAATAAATTGGAGCCTATCAAGATGCAAATGGTCAATCTTAATTCATACTCCCTCCGTCCCAAAATAAGTTACCACATTTCTATTTTAGTTTGTCCTATAATTAGTGTCAACTTTCAAAAGTAAGTGCCAGCTTTCCAATTCTACCCTTTGAGAATTCATTAATCCCTCTATTATTGAGGGTAAAATTGTCATTTAGTTAACTAAAAGTGTAATAATTACATATTTTTCTGTCTTTTTCATTGTGTACATTTATTTTCGGATGGAGGAAGTAGTAAACATTTAATTTCAATATTGCTGATCAAGAAGCAAATTTTTGCACTCTTAAATTCATAATAAACATGACTTCACTGAGGTACTTGAAACAGTTTATGCATGAAATCTGGTGATGGCGTTGAGGATTTAGTGAAAATCAATAGGATTTGAAGAGCATTTCTTCTTTATTGGAGGTTTAGGCCACAACGAGTGTCGACTGTGACTGAATGACTTTTGAAATTTCAGGTTCCTTTATCCTATATACCCTCTTATATGTGTTGCTGCTGCAGCTGTCATCGATAGCCTTCCTGACTTTTTTTTATGAGCGGTATAGAACCGAACAATCTCTGCTCTACAAAGTAAGCATAAATTGTGTATAAAGTATCATTTCACAATTTCATTGCCAGTTATGGTCATAAATTATAATCAACCTCTTGCATTTGCAGATGGCTAAATACGTGAGACCGTTGCTTATTGGCCTCATTCTATGCGTTTCTCACTCTAGGACGTTCTCTATCATAAATGGTTATGCTGCTCCTTTAGAGATTTACAAGCACTTTGAACATCATTATGATGCAGGATCAGGTAAGAGCAACTCTGTGTCATTCGATCTCGATGGAATTTGACAAATGCTACAATTATGAAATTGTTGAGAAAGAAGTTTACGTTACAACCCTCCCTCCATCCCATGATAATTTTAACGTTTGGAAGGAAACATAGTTTTATGAATTTGGTTGATGGTTGGTCAAATACCTTCAATACAAAGTAACATATCTTGTGAACAAAAATCGATAGCATCAATTAGTAATGATGACAGCCAGAAAATCGGGTAATTCTAACTTTGAGATTTGCCAAAGAAGGAGATGTTTTGTCGGAAAACTCAAAATGGTAATTATGCAAATGGAATGGGACGGAGGGATTAATAAACTTAATCTTGAATGTCAATGTGTATTTCATTTATTTGTTATATCGTCTAACAAACTAGTTGTTGGTTGATAAGCTACCTGTTGTTGATAAGCTGGATGACAATATAAAATGACCTCAAAATGAACAAGTTGAAATATTAATTAAAAATTAATAATAAGGTGCATAATTGGGGAAAAAGCCTTGGAGCTTATTGAAACGCCACTTGGGGTAGCTTTTCAAGAAGCTAGCTTATTGAAACACCACTTGGAGTAGCTTTTCAAAACGCTAGCTTATGAAACGCCACTTGAAGTAGCTTTTCAAAAAGCTAGTTATTGTATCACTACTTGAAGTGCCTTTTCAAACAGCTAGCTTATTGAAACGCTACTTAAAGTACCTTCTCAAACAGCTAGCTTATAGCTAACCAAAAAGTCTTTTCAATAAGCGCAAAAAATAAACTTAGCTTACGGTTGCCAAATATGGCCTTTTATCTCTCTCTCTCTCTCTCTTCCCTGCAACTTGACTCTCTTTCTCACACATTTAGGGTCCTTTCATTCCAATGCAGGTGCAGTGGTGTGTGTGGGAAGTGAGTGGCACCGGTTCCCATCATCGTTCTTTATTCCAGACTATGTAAGTGAAGTCAGGTGGATTGACGACGGTTTCAGGGGCTTACTTCCTTTCCCATTCAATTCAACCTTGGGTGGAACATCTGCAGCACCACCATATTTTAACAATAAGAACAAGGCATCACCTGACCAATTTGTAAGCCTCTTTTCCCCAAATTTCTTGTTTTTATATGTAAACCAAATTCATATTCGTATTCGTATTATCTGAAACTATTCACAGCTCCAAGATGTCGAAAGCTGCGATTTTCTCGTGGAGCTGCAGCTTCAAAGACCTTTTCTTTCTCGAGGAAGCGACTTGTTAAAATGGGAGGTACTATCTCTTTCTTTCTTGGTATAAACCAAACGAGCGTAGTATATCCCACCCAGAAGTGGGGCCGGAGGAATAGAGCGATTGATTCTATTAAGCCCCTTGGGTTGTTAAAAGTGTGTGAGAGAGAGATCTTTATATACGTAACGTATAAGAGTATCTGCAACAGATTCTTCAAAATGGAGTGTTAAAATTCAAAATTTCCAAAAGAGATTAGTGCATCTCCAACAGATTCTCTAAATTAGAGAAATGAAGGTTTTGTTCTCTATATTGCTCTAATAGATTCTCTATGATGTTCTCTAAAATAGAAAAAACATGAAAAAACTCCAAGTTTGGAGAATTCTAGAAAAGAAATGACTATTTTATTCAGTCCCACCAATAAGAATAAATGTAAATGAAAAAAATTCGAAAAAATTATCAAATTAACTATTTAAAAGTTTTTGTTTTATGGTGTAATTTCTTTAATTCAATTTTTTATTATAATTTAATTTAAGTTTAATAATGAAGTAATTTGTTTTTGGTTTAATAATATAATTTTTTATAAAAATAATAATTAAGTATTCTGTTAGAACTCAATGATTTTTAAAATTATATTTTAGATTTCTTATATTTAAAATGAGATGTTTATTCTTTATTTGATTATGTTTAACTGTAGTTAGTTTCACGAATTCAAATATGGAGCTTTAATAAGTTGTATTTACACACAATTATTTGTAATCTTGAATTTTAAGTAATATGTATCAATAAATAGTACTTCATGAAAAAAAATGGTTTTTAAGAGTTTCTGTCAGATATTTTATTATATAGTATAGATTATAGATAACCTGTTGAAGATGCTCTTACATTCCACGCGAACAACTTTCTTCTTTTTGGAAATTACAACATTAATTATATTTATTAAATATTTCATACATTTAGTAAAATATAATTTCTTATTTCTGAACATTTAATTTCAAGCTTTCTTATTGGTGGGAATATATAATAAGTAAATTTCATTTTCGTCCTTGTGGTTGGTTAAAAATTGCGATTTTTAACCTTATGGTTTAGAAATTGCAGTTTTCGTTCCTATGGTTTGTAATTCATCGTTATTTTTGTTCTTATAATTTACAATTTATTGTTGTTTTGGTCCCTATGGCTTACAATTCTTTACTTTTTTAGTCCCTTGTACATAAAGGTAGGAATTAGTCCAAGGACGAAAATAACAATAAATTGCAAACCGTAGAGACGAAAATCACAATTCCTAAACCACAAGGACAAAAATCGAAATTATTAACAAACTATAGGGACGAAAACCATAATTTACTCTAAAAATGTTCTCTCTCATGGTATTCATTTTTGGGATTTCTCCCAATTTAGAGAACTTCGCACACTGTCTCCCACTTTCTCCATTTTGGAGAATTTGTTTGAAGCAAAAAATCAATTCTCCAGTTCTTTAACACACGGGTGAAAATATATGACAAGCGTTGGTCGTGTAGGTGGTTGCAGCATTGCCATATCTAGATAGGGAGCTTTCGCCCCCTTTACACCGATCGTTCTTCATACCATATGTTTGGGAGGAGAAAAACATATTTGGGATCTACAAGTTATTGAAGAGACACAAAGGGCAACAATAGGTTTTGCAAGCAGATAACCACAAGAAAGTGATCTTTAGATTACTAATTTTAGGGCTCATACTTGAGTTTCTTCTACAATATGTTGTCTTTCTTCTGGTTTTTTTGTTGGGTTATATTCGTCTTTTCCCCTCAGTTACAGGTAGCATCTGCCTCCTTTCTATCCACTAGACTAGACCCTATTCTGCATGGAATTTGTTGGGTTCGTTTGTTTGTTCTTTTTCTCTATCCATTAATTCATGTATGCATGCCCATCCCTATTTCATATTTTAAGTATCGCTTACTGAATGAGGTTTTTTACCCTGTCAGTGAGAGTGATGACTCTTATCTGATAAGCATTACTAGGAAAAAATTGTATTAATAGACTAAAATCTTATCCGATAAGTGAGTTTTTTTCCTTACTCTAAACCCTAAACGAACATAAATAAATATTATTTGAATTCAGAGTAAATAAATAAAATATAATTTATTAAATTTAATATATAAATGAACGTAAACGAACGAATATACACGAACGTAAACGAACGAATATACACGAACGTAAACGAACGGTAAATGAATAGACGTTCACGAACATAAATGAATGAACGACACTTTTGTTCATGTTCGTTCGTTTAACTAAACGGACAAAAAAAAAAGTGTTCATGTTCGTTCATTTATTAAATAAACAAACTTCCCGCTGAATGGTTCACGAATGGTTCGCTGAATGTTCGGTTCGTTTACAGGCCTATCCATGGTAAAGAGAAATAAAATTGAGTAAATTACAAATTTGTTGTTTACTATAAATTTAGGGTGTTACTACGATTTGAAAAAAATTCTGGATCCGTAGTTGTATCAGGGTGATTTTCAGTTTTTCGCCCTACAATAGATTAATATTCTCTGTATTTTGGAAAATGATGCATAAATTTTAGTTTTGAAAGTCATTAATTATTAATGGAGTTGGGGTTAAAAGAATGTGAAATGAAGTTATATACCATGACTCCAATAACAAAACCATCACGATCTTGGTCCCATGGTCTAGAGCCTAATGTGGCTCGTGGTTTCCTTTAGACAAAGCTCTACAGATTATGAACCCACCAACACCTATAGGATTAACAACTTCAGTTCCACCAACCACCATGACATAAGTTTCTGCTCTTCTGATGTGGTTTTCAGCTGCATAAAAGCAATAGTTTGCACTTGCACAAGAAGTTGAAATTTAATGGTAGACGTTAAGTTCATAATAAGCACAAGTTGCCTTAATACTAGTAATAAATAAATTGTAGTGACATGAATCTTTTTAGATGGTGAATTGTGTTTTGTATTCTTGCTTTCAATTATACAAATTTGCATTCATTCAAATGGTCTAGAGCCTTATGTGGCTCGTGGTTTCTTTGAGACAAAGCTCGATAGGCTATGAACCCACCAACACCGGTAGGATTGACATCATCTTCAGTTCCACCACCTACAATGGTTGTATGCTTGGAAGTCGTTACAGAGTTATCATTATAGACTATCATACAACCAAGCATACAACCATTGTAGAGTATCATCAAGAAGAAGAGAAAAAAAACCCCAAGACACATTTACGAATTTAAAAGAGTTAAATCATTATGATTAATAAATACCCACCATCAAAGCAACAGCCGCATCTGCAAAATATGAAACCTCACTCTCACGTGCAAACAAGAAAATATCAACATGAAAACCTAAACATGCAAAGAGTTCAACAATATTGACATCCATTGCATTTCTGAATGGATTTTAACCACTTATAAAATCCTGTTTTTCAACCCAATTGGAGATACTCAAGTTCTGATTTAAACCTATTAAGATATACCCATAAAATTGTGCAATGTTTCTACTGTCTTTTTTGTGATTTCACAATTTAAACATAGAAACCCAGATCATAAAGAACTCAACTAAAATAAGAAGAGATGAAGTTCTAGACATGAACTCACTTGCATCAGACGAACTTGGAGCCTCCTGACCGATGGATATAGAGAGATGCAGTGCAGCCTTAAACAAGAAGAAATGGGACGCTCTGGTTATCGGAGGTAATAACTCAAACACAAAATTGAAGAATATCTGCAAAGATGGACCTGTAAGAACGATCAATAGTGAATCGAGATTAGAAATCAAGATTTAGGGTTTTCGTACGTTACCTCATCGAAGAACAAATTGAAATGAAAAATCTAGATTTTTGGAGGGACGAAGGAATTCATTTAACTCGGGAGTGGGAATTCGTATTGTTGATGGTCAAATTCTGTGAAGAAGAAAGGGTTTGGTCACATATACAAAAGAAGAAGAAAGTTATTTTAGATGTCTGAGAAGAGAATTGATGGTCAAATTATGTGGAGAAGAAAGGGTTTAGTTGCATATACAGAAGAAGAAAAGAAAGCTTAAATTGGTTATTTTAGATGTCTGAGGAGAGAAAGGACGGTTGACTCAATTAGGATTTGTTGTTGTAGAAAACACTTGCATAAGAAGTTTGTACATTGTGTATAATAATTTGTAATTAAGAGTTTTTTGAATTTATTGCATAAAATGGTTGTAACCCATGCTTCAAGATTTGTAATTAAGATATTGACCTAAATGCTTATTAATGTAGTATAGATAGATATAGATACAAGGAATTATTAATTTATATTTTACATGGGTTCTATATGAATAATCAAAAATGTACGATCTTATAATTTTAGCGAATTATTATTTTGATACGTCATCTTGGAGCTGGACCTACCAAAAATATTATCCAAGAGAGATTATTTAATAATCGAGCATCAACTAATGGAGTTTCAATTGTACGCCAAATAATCATAATTGCCAAGGAAAAGTCAATGTCTGAAACTGTATGTTTTGATCGAGAGTCGGATATTTTAAATGAGCTATACATGGAAAACATGTAACACCGGAGTGAAGAACAAAAGGAAAAGTGAATGAAAATGTGCACCTTTTAATTAATTCCACCAGCATGGATTCTTCAATTGGTATTCAAGCAAGTATAAAATGGAAGACATGTCTTCCTTGTATACACATAAACCATTACCAGCAACAAAAGCCATCACCTTGTTTTTAACTTCAATCCAACTACAACCAGGCATCTTCTTCACCCCATGATCAGCCATCGCTTTCCTAACCAACTCTGCCTCTTTCCACTTCTCACTTGCACAATACAGATTCGACAGCACCACATAACTCATTTCATGCTGAGGATCCAACACTTTCAACACTCCCCCCAATTTGGCTCCCATGTCTACATCACGATGTGAATAGCAGGCTCCAAAAAGAGCTTCACTTGATTTAGCAGTGGCACCATGTGTCCTTGTGTACATATTGGTCATCTCTCTTGCTTCTTCCAAGTACCCACCTCGAGCAAGCATATCCACCATGCATGCCACATGCTCTGTTTCTGGCGAAATCCCGTATATTTGACTCATTGATTTGAAAAGAGCTCGGCCTCTGTTAATAAGCCCCAAGTGGCTACAAGTCATCAACAGACTTGTGAAGGTAATATTATCTGGCTTCAAGCCAGATGCTACCATTTCTTTATAAATTTCTAGAGCTTTGTCACCCCAACCATGCAAACCATAGGCAATCAACATGGTGTTCCATGAAACCAAATCCTTTTCAATAATATCATTAAAAGCTTGGTTCGAACCATAAATGTCTCCAC